CCGTGGGCTGCTCCACCTCCCCGAGCACGCGGGGAGCCGCCGCCGAGCGGCCCCCGCCGGCTCCCCCAGCGCTCTCCCCGTGGAAATAAAAGCAGAATAAGGAAAAGGATGACCGGGGGGTGGTGGGGAAATCAAGCCCTCCATCGCTATGCGGCAGGCAAACCCACCCCTCTCCCCCTCCCAGCGCCGAAACCCACCGGAGTGAGGGGAGATTTGCCTGATTTGCCACCCCGGGGGAATGATTTTGGGAGGCTTCTAACACTGGGAAGACAAAAAGGGGTTTTTCCTCCCCAAATCGGTGCGTTGCACTAAGGTGTGTGCCGGGATTTGCAGATCCTGCAGGTTTGCTGGCTTTTTTTTTTCCTACAAACCTCCCATTTCCCCCTGTTATTTTCGAGGCAGTCAGATCTCCTCGCTGCTCCTCTCCTTTTGGGCTGAGCTGGCTTTTAACCTGTTGCTTTTAATCTCTGGCCAAAGCCCTAGGACAGCTTCTCTCCAGGAGAAATGGAATGTTATTTCCCCGTGGCACAGCTCAGGGGGGATTTTTGGGGAGCACTGCGAGGTTTCAGCCCTGCAGTGGAGTCTGAGGCTGCTCAGGATTCAGAGCCTTTGGCTCAAACCTTGATTTCCACTTTATTTTTATTTTTTTTTTTACCATCTGGACATAAAGCAAGGAGACCCCTGGGCTTGGGGACTCTCTGTTTGCCTTGGGATTGAAAAATGGGGAGGAAGAAGGGGTAAAATAACACCATGTGCCCTCACTTTTAATCCATTTGGCGAAGAAAACCAGAGTGGGGTGTTGCAGGGAACAGGAAGCCATTTCCCAGCAGCTTCCCAGATTTTCTGCTGTTTGACTGAAGCAAATACAACCTTAAAATAGCAGCTTCACAGGCAGACAGCACCAACCCCACTCTCTCACTGCCGCGGCCTTGACAGCCTCATAGGTTTTTGCAGCCAAAATAATAAAAAATGCATGAATTTGTCTGTTTTTCAGCTTTTTTGATGCAAATATGGGCTGTGTGGTTTGCTGCAGGTGCAAGGATGGTTTTGGGGGGATGGCAATTAGGGAATTAGTGCTGATGAGGAAGATTTCTATCCATGCTAGCCTCTGTCTTTCATAATTTCTATTCTCACCCTCGTTGACTGAGGCGAGGACTGTGTTTACTTGCTTGGTATTCATATTGAGAGGGCAGGTGTGAACCCACCCTGAAAGCTTCTTTATTTACAGATCCCACATTATTGGGGTCGGGGTGGGGCCTTTTCACTGGTTTGATCCCACAGTGCCACCCCCAAGTTGCCCTAGGACTGGTTTTCCTTTTTGCCCCCAGATTTTTGGGGACAAATGAGACTGCACTGCATTTTATATAGGGGAAAGCAACCTGGATTAGCACTTAAAAACTGAAAAAGAAAAAAGGGTTGTGGGCTGATAATCCCTCTTCTCACTCACTGCCCTGGCAAATAGTGAACTGTCATCATTGTGTTTCCTGGTTATCCCTTGGACAATACCAACCTCAGCATCCCAGCTTTGGATTCTTGGGGTGCCTTTGGTGATCTCACTGTCCCATGCTCTGTTTCAGCTCCTGGAGTTTCAACCCCATCAGAAGCCACTGCCAATTTGGACGCTGCTTCCCAGCCTCTTGTGGCTCCTCCAGCAGCAAGATTTGGTGGCAAAACCACCAGGTAAGGTCAAAATCCTCCAAAATCTAACAAACTGGCCAAAAATCCCAGTGATAAATCCATGGGGGCTGTGACACCCGTCCTTGCAGCTAGAAAATGGGGCAGGAAGCTCCTCAGGCAAGGGGGAAAATAGAGAAATCTTTAATTAAAAAACAATTTGATGATCACACGAGAGCCCTTTATCTTGTGTGGGCTGATTCCTGTGGGAGCAAACTGAATTTGAGCTCCAGCATGAGGGAATCTCAAATTGGGCTTTTGACCACTTGTGTCTTTAGCCAGTTTCCCTTGCTGCCTGTATTTAGAACACCTGGGAAAACGTGATATACACAGATATTAATTTTTATGCTTTCAATCATATTAATCTATTTATTTTGATCTCACTGATCAAGAGCTGTTCCTTCCCCCCCAGGAATGATTTAATAAAATTTGCCTGTGGAGCCACAGAACCAGTTTTGAACTGAGGAGGAAAAAAAACCAAGCAACTCCGGGACGGCGGCGGAAAAATGCTCTGCAGGGACAGAGAAAGGAGGAAGTAAATAATGAAAAGAGGAGAAATTGGAAAGAATGAGGCAGCAGGCAAGGAGAGGATGTGGGAATCCCCGAGCACGATGCTTTGGGGGCCCCTGAGGATGCTTCCCAGAGCTCAGCTGCGTGCCGGGGCGTTATCCCGGCGTCCCGGCCAGCCTTTTTTCCAGGCAAGGAAATATTTAACTGCAGCGTCAGCGGGCAGGGCAGGCGGGTGCAGGAATGGAGAGAGGCAGGCAGCACCCTGTCCCTGCTGTCCCCCCAGGCCAGCCTCAGGGTGACCATCTCCAGCTCCTGCTGCGCCGCAGCCAGGAGGCCAAAAACTGCGCTTATTGCCCCTACAGCCGCTTCCCGGTGGGAGCTGCGCTGCTCACCACCGGTGGGGAGATCTTCTCGGGTAAGATGGGGATCTGAGACCCCCCTCCAGGGATTTTGAGGTGCCCCCAGTAAGTTTTGGGTCATGTATGAGGGTGTAGCGGGGTCATCCCGGGGTGTTGGTGTTGTGTGTCCTGCCCCGCTGCCTCTTGGCAAGTCGCCATCCCTGACCGAGCCAAAGATCACAACGGATGGGAAAGCGGGGCAAGCGGGGAAAATGGTTTTTATTTGTAAATTCCCTAAGAAGAAATGAGGTTTTGGGTGGCTGATAATGGGGTTGTCCCTGCAGGGTGCAACGTGGAGAACGCCTGCTACAACTTGGGGGTGTGCGCCGAGCGCACCGCCATCCAAAAAGCCATTTCCGAGGGGCACACCAGCTTCAAGGCCATGGCCATCGCCAGGTGAGGGTGCTCTGAGAGCTGGAATGGTGAGGGATGGCAGGGGGAACCAGCAGGAGAACCTCCGGTGCTCCTCAGGGACAGCTTCTTTTGCAGCAGCCTCATCTTTTGGGGAGGGAAATAAAGTTTTTTGCGTGGTGATTTTGGAGGAACTGGGGGGGTAAATCTGTTGTTGGTCTGTATTTATCGGGGCATGAAGGTGTTCTGTAGGTGTTCTCCCCTCCTCTGACCTCAGGGCTGAGCTTTGTGCCCTTCTCTTTTGGCAGTGACATGAGGGACCACTTCATCATGCCCTGTGGTGCCTGCAGACAAGTGATGAGAGAGGTGACAGCTCATGTGGGGCTCATTCCCTGACCCCAAACACCATCCCCTGACCCCAGGCATCTCCCCCTAAAACACCTGGAGGTACCAAGAAGGGTGGAACCCCCCATCCTCAGCCTCAGGGCTGGCTCCAGGCTCCTCAAATGGCATTATCTGCTGGGAAAGGGGTATTCCAACCCTGGGTGTTCAGTGGGAATCCATTAGCTTGCCCTCCCCAGGGTGTTTTATTTCTCCAGGTGCAGGGTTTTGCCCTTAAGTCTTTGCTCAGGCTCTGGCCAGCCTGGAAATGGTTTTTTTTCTGCAAAAACTGAGCTTTCCACAGATGCTGTCCTGCTCTCATCTCCCTCCTCCACAGGAATCCTAGCACCCACAGCCCATTTTTGGGTTTTTAATATTTAATGGGTTGCGGGGCTCTGCTTGAGGGTGAGATTCAGCAGGTTCAGATGCACTGGGGCTCATGCTGGTGGGGTAAAAAACACAGGGTCTGAGCCCAAAATATCCTCTGGGGGAGGGAATGCTGGTAAGCCAGTCCAAAATACATGCAAGAGAGGAGGATGCTCTCTGTGAACCTGGGAAAAAAAAAAGGGGTATATTAGTAATTTGGGGAAAAAATGCAGGTTCTTCTTCTTCTTCCTCATAAGGCTCTTCTTTCTCCTCTTCTCCTTCAGTTTGGCACAGACTGGGATGTCTACCTGACCAAAGCAGATGGCACCTACATTGTCAAGAGGCTGGAGGAGCTGCTGCCGCTCTCCTTTGGCCCTGAGGACCTGAAGAAGGTCTGAGCAACGTGGCCACCACCAGCCTTTGCCCTTAGGCACAGAGGACAATGGTTTTTTCCCCAATTTCCTCAGCCTGTAAGCAACTTTTTGGGAACAACACAGTGGGAAATTTGTTTATACTGTTAAGTTGCCTGTTCCTCTGGCTCATCTTCTGATTCAGTGTTGATTTGCAGACTCCAGCTCCACCTTGCCCTGAGGAAATAGCAAAATCAATTAATAGAAATTCCCTGTTATTAGTAAAAAAAGGCACCCAGACGTCCCTGTAGGCAAGGGAGGACATGGGTTTGATGCACAGCTCAAACAGGCTTTGGTACAGAAACCAGTCCTGAATAATGTAAAATCATTGCTTGGGAAAGTGCTGGATCCTTCAGCTCTAAAGAGAAGCGAAAGCAAGAAGGAAAAGGTCCATCAGTGCCAGGTAATTAGTGAGCCAATCCAGATTAGGTGGATTGCTGGAACAGGATGGTTATCGCACTGAGCGTGTCCTTTGCTCGTTTCTACCCAGCTTGTTTTCCTTGCTTTTATTCTGTTTGGGGTGAAGAAGAGGACAAGGAGTTTTTGGGGACTTCTGGAGGGTTTTGTGCCTCCAGGGTAATGCCATTTGTTGATTGTACTACTGATTTACAATACAATGATGAATGAATTCATTACATTTCCCAGCCAGCGTTGGGTTGAGCATTTCTGCCATGCCCAAATGAAATAAAAGCAGTTCTGATTTATCTCCTGCAGTGGTGAAACACAGGGAGAGGGGTCCTGGGGCTGTCCTGCAGCCCAGGAAGGGCTGGGGAGTGCTGGATGTGCCGTGGGAACCTCATGAGGTTCAACAAAGCCGAGTGCAGGGTGCTGTCAGGGCAGCCCCTAGTATCCATACAGGCTGGAGGATGGAGAAGACTCCTGCTGGGAAGCACTTGGAGATGCTGGTGGATGAGAGGCTGATGTGCCTCAGCTGTGGGGCCGATCCCACAGCATGGGAGGGAGGGATTCTGGCACAGGGTGCCCAGAGAAGCTGTGGCTGCCCCATCCCTGGCACTGTCCAAGGCCAGGTTTGGATGGGGCTGGGAGCAAGCTGGGATAGTGGGAGGTGTCCCTGCTCATGGCAGGGGTGGAACAAGATGGGCTTTGAGGTTCCCTCTAGCACAAACCAGTCTGTGATTCTGTGATTTGATGATTCCACACACTGGGCTGTGCTCTGGCTCTTCCCAGGGCAGTGCCGTGCTCCATGCCAAGGCACTCCCAGCTGTGTCCTCCATGCCCTGCATTGCACAAGGCTTCACCTTGGCTGCACCCTGCTCTGTGCCCTGCTCCATGACCCATTCCATGCCCTGCCTGATGCCCCACTCCATGTCCCCCCTTCCCTATCCAGCTCCATGCCTCACTCCATGTCCCATTCCATGCCCTGTTCAGTACCCCATTCCACGCCTGCTCCATGGCTTGCTCTATGCCCCATCCTGTGCCCTTCTCCGTGTCCCATTCCGTGCCCCATTTCGTGTTCCATTCCCTGCCCCTCTCCACGTCCCTCTCCATGTCCCATTCCCTGTCCTTCTCCATGTCCTTCTCCATGTCCCATTCCGTGTCCCATTCCCTGCCCCTCTCCATGTCCCATTCCCTGTCCCATTCCCTGCCCCTCTCCATGTCCCATTCCCTGTCCCATTTCCTGTCCCATTCCCTGCCCCTCTCCATGTCCTATTCCATATCCCATTCCCTGTCCCATTCCCTGTCCCATTCCCTGCCCCATTCCCTGTCCCATTCCCTGTCCCATTCCCTGCCCCTCTCCTTGTCCCATTCCCTGCCCCTCTCCATGTCCCATTCCCTGTCCCAGTCCCTGTCCCAGTCCCTGTCCCAGTCCCTGTTCCAGTCCCTGTCCCAGTCCCTGTCCCAGTCCCTGTCCCAGTCCCTGTC